ATACATATGTATACATATACATATACATATGCATATATATATATATATATGTATATATGTATGTATGTATGTATGTATAAACCTATACAAAAACTTACAAAGGAGTAGTGTAACCATGAACGTATATAACTTACTAGTCATATACAGGCTAACCATGTTACTTGAATCTGAACCTGATTAGTATCTAATTCCCCGTGGAATCCATTCCAAACTTGATTAAAATGTGCTCAATGTTGTTTATATAGGTCAACTGAACCACCCAATAAAATCCATATGCTTTGCATGATACAAAGGAACAAATGTGATGTCCAAAACTCCAAGTGAGCACATATAACAAGAGTCAATTCCATTCTGCAAAACTCAAATTTAACATCAGAAACTGATGCAGATTACTACAAACTTCATTGTAGTGCCATCATAATGAGATCGTCCGAAGCAACCAGAATTCCTGACTAAAATTTCAGTTTCCAAGTAACACCACTAGTTCAAAAGAAAAAAAGTCGCAATACCACGCTGTACACATTGCTATGCATACGTGTATCTAGCATGAATCAACTGACACACATGACATGTTTTGTGTTGGTCGATGTGCCACTCCGATCTGCAGAGAAATGAAAAAAAAAAAAAAAAAGTTGCATTCCTTTGCCTTCATAGAGAACTACCAACGAATGAAATGTCAGGGTGTGTTGATGGGGTCTCCTCATATAACATTTCATAGAGAAGTTTTGCATGCTTTCTTTGAGCTCCTGGACTGGATCTACGACCTTTTTTGATCATCGGTTGGTGGTTCTTCAGGTATACCATGATACAGGCGGGTGAGAACGAAAAGTGCTGTGTCATTATCACGCCAGTAGTTACTGCATGATGTAAACATATTTAGAAAGAATGTAAACATAGCAAAAATCTCAATTCATTTTGAGTTCTCAGATTAGTTCTTACGTATGTGATCCTATGGCTGATAGATAAGGATGATGAAATGTTCCTTCCTACAAGATCAACAAGAACAAATCATTACCCAAGAATTCTCCCATTTATAACAAGTTGTAGAGCAGGAGTCCCGGTCAACAAATCTCCATTTGAATTGTGACCACAATTATTGCTAAATACTGAAAATACTTATAAGATAAGTGGAGTCCATCAAAGAGTAATTTCTTGGAAGTGTACAAAATCCACAATATCAGAGAAAAGAAGCTTCAATCAGAAAAGGGATGCATAAAAGCCATTTATTAAATTACCTGGAGAACAAAGTCGATTCGACCATATTCACAGCCTGTCAACCGTTCAATCATGAAGGAACCATATGATCTTTCTCTTTTCTCATCTTCCACAGTTTCTACAATGTACAATTAGTGATCACTTCTTGTCCACAATTACAGCACAATAAACGCCATATCAAGAAAGAAGAAAAGAGAAAAAGACATATGCAATGAGAACTTACCTTTAGCTTTATCCTTGTTTTGTCTTTGAAAAGTGCTAGCCACTTTGACCTGTTACCCAAAATATAGGAAATTATAAAGGAACCATACTTTGACCTGTTAGACACTTCGTAATTTCCTTTATGTTCACATACCATATGCATTTGACAATCAATTATATTAAAATTTTTAAACCATGATTTGAGAAGGAAGAATATTCCACTAAATGATGTTTAACCATTTCTCAAAAATATTTTTGACTCAACAAAATCAAAGACACTGTAAGAGTTGTCCAAACAGGTATCTTTCAACAGACTTATAGCATCTTATACACAATCATGAAGTAAATTCATCATATTTTTTCCTATATGACTATTCAAATTCCCTCCAATTATAGTTTCTTAATTAAAGGTATTTGCTGAGTGATTTCATCTAACTTTTACCAATATTCTCTTTTTGTTTAATCATCCAATATTAAGGGGCATGCTATTGAAAGATCTATCAACATCTAATGTTCACATAGTTGTCATAGAACTCATATTAAGTTTTACAAGTGCATTTTTATGCCAGTTTCAAGACAGATTCGGCAATATCACATAAACTAAGTAATTATTTTGCTGAGATAAATATAGTATTTGCAATTGCATATCAATGTTATTTTAGAAAAAAACAATCTCATCAACTAGTACTACAGTACATGAATTTTTCCATCGATACTTTCCAGGAGATATATATCATTTTCCCAAAAGATACTAACATGGCACACATGCCTATGTATAGTCTGGATGTGGAAAACCGAGCACCTGACTTGCAAGTTCTGGCATGGCATCTGGTACATACCATGCTGAGCTAGGCAAGCATAAGCTCAGCACACAGCTCAATAACCTTGGCTCAATTTAAGGGGAAACAAAAAGAAGTTCAATCAATTTCAAGTAATCCAATTACATTACTAGACAAGTATTATCACTACTGAGATGAATCAAGAAGAAAATGATGAATAAATACGCACTGTACCCTCAAAGAATTTAGCTGACTCATTATGCTTTCGGAGCGTGCAGCTATATCTTCAGTGAATTCCTGCATTTGGCATTATAATAATTAGGGTGATAGGATTTCAGAAGCTATCTGATCTTAAAATCTAACCTGAAATCCAATATGCAACCTCCTCCCGCCCCTGTGGTAGGGAATAAGAACAGGTCTCTTGTTTAAGTACTCCTTGCAGATAAGCGGTTCTACTCTGTGAAAGATGAACGCAGACTCATATAACAGGTTTCTCAATTCAAGTTAAGCTTTGTGTTCCATTGCAAATGACATAGATGCATGCAGATGCAGATGTAGTTACCTATGTATTATATGTTAACATATAACATAGTGTTGTTTTTAAGCATTAAACAAAGAAGAAAGCAAAGAAGATAAAGATAAAACCAAAGGAAGGTAGATAAAGAATAATAGAAAAACCTGTATGCAACAGGATCAAAAGGATGAAAAATGTTAAACATCTGCCTGCAAGATGGCATCTCTTCAGATATTTTTTCATCTTCCCAATAAGCTTGCCCCCTGCCTTAAAGGAAAAACAGATTATCTTAAGAAAAGTGTTTCTGACCAATTTTATAAACAGCAAGAGATGCATTTGATCAAATTCTATTTAATTTATAAGGAGATAATTCAAGTCGGAATGAAAAGTTATCTTTCTGCAGTTTAATGTGTTCCACCTAGCAAATAAAGAACTGGGTCAAAATATCAATTTGTTTGCCAGATGAGGCCTTCAACCATACTAGTTGTTTTAAACACATTTGTTTTGATTGATGTTGCATCAATTATCGCTTTAGTGTAAAAATTTTGCAAGAAAATTATTCTTTTCTTTTGTCCCCTTTTGGAAGTATAAATCATAACAGCTAAGAAGACATAATTGATAGATAATTACCAAGGCAAAAAAAAAGAAAAGAACAAACTGCCAATTAATACATTGCAAACCAAAAAGAACTTACAAACACAAAATTCTGCTATGCAGATTCATTGCAATGCTCACATTTTGATCCTTAAATAGTTTAAGAACAGTCATTCAAGTAACATCTAGTGTGCCAGAATATGAGCAAGGCTTGCTCAAATATTTCTTTGGTGATCATGCACATGTATTAGATAAATGAAAAAAAAAAAAGATTAGCACCTCAGAATATACTCAGTTACAGAAGCAAGAAGCAGAAATTCAAGAAAAATGAACATGACAATAATCTGAAGAAGAAATAATCCATAAGGAGAACCCCAGGTCAATTTTGGCATTTCGAAACATAGGTTCATCAATTTTGACTAAAAAATGCTCATATGTGGTTATATACTCGGCTTAATGATGAGGTCATGTAAGGGACTGTACTGGATACACAATAGCCAAAAGGCAGATTATAAATTCTAATTTGAATAATGGGGCAGTACACACAGAGTACCCAAAAGGCCCAAACGATATCACCCAAGTCAGAGCAGATATGAGAACGCAAAGACATGGACAGTGGATAAAACGAAAATGTTAAGTTGCATACATTTACTGAATACAATGTAGAAGTATATTCCACACTCGAAGTTCTGTTCTTTTTTATTGTGGTCACTGAAGTGAAAGACAAAGTACTTATCCCAACATCTTGAAGTCAGAACTTTTTTCTTAAGCTAATCTCTGGTACTTCTGGTAGAATACCAAGCATAATATTACTGTATAATCTTTTACATCAAAAGTATCTTTTAGGATAAACTGTTATATGTTGTCCATCACATCCTAAAGTTCAACCAGTTTTTAAATTGAATCAAATTAATCAAATAAAAGTCCACATTCAAGTCATAAACAATAGTCTAGAAAGGTTAAACGGTTTGGCCACCTTCATGTAATTTATGTATCACATTTGATCAATTAAGTGTTAATCATGAAAGAAATAGCTGTCAAGATATCTCTAGT